AGTTGAATCCCAAAGCTTGGTTCATTGTTGGCACTTATTAGAGATGTGTTCACTTGTCTAATGTTGTTAATCAACACTTTTCATTCTGCATAACTACCATTTCCAAAATCTGCAGCTTGTCATAAGAAACAATTTTTGTTTGCTTGATTCTTACCTTCCTTTTTAACTCTGGAAGTTTCACAGGAAGATCATTCAGGGAACTCCTACTAACTTTTCCTTTAGAAAGTCTCTCCCTTTTTCCTCTGGGAGCAGGACTGTGCTCTGGCACTTAGGTAGAGGGTTCCATTTCCTATTGGAGCACAAAGTAGGTTTGCAGGGATGGCAGTTTTAAGTTTCATTGCCAGTGTCACTCCCAGCCTAAACAATGGACAACTAATCAGTGCAACACATCAACTGAGGAGGTGTGGATATAGTCAATGATCTCTCCAAGGAATTTTACTACTAGTCTGTGAATGTAGTGAGCAATCACACATAGCATTCAATTATGAACAATTCAAACAGCAGATTGAACAATCTCTGGGGGGTATGTGAAAGTTTGTAAGCAGCACATTTTTGATACCCTGAAACCCCCTGGTTAATGACAATATGGGCATATGGACCATCTGTGATATAACACTCCATATAAATTAGTAAGAGCTGCTTCAACTAACTGTGGAATACTTGGGGCTGTTAAAATTGATGATGTAGATCTATATATATTGACATGGAAATCTGCCCACAATATATTGCTAAGTGAAAGAAGCAGGCTATAAAACAGTATAATTATGAAAAATTATTCCATGTCTATTCATGGATGCATGAAGGGATAGTCTCTGAAAAGTTAATAATGGTCAATCTCTGGCTCATAGAATTTTGGGTGATTTTTTTTTTTTTTTCTTTTCCTTTTGCCTTTCTAGTTGTTTTATTTGTTTGAATTGGGTTTTTTTTTTTTTTTTCTTTTCCTTTTGCCTTTCTAGTTGTTTTATTTGTTTGAATTTTATTTCTATAGTGAGTAGTAATTTTTACATTTGGAAACATATGAAACTGCATTCAATTTGGAAAAGAAAATTGCTAACAATATAAAACCTCATAAAAAAATTCCTCAAATTTTCTAAAAGAGAAATTGTTTACAGTCGTATGTGAAAACAAACAAACACAAAACAAATTCTCACATGAACAGAGAAAATAACTGTTCCCCTGCCTCCGTAGCTGAGCCATACGATGTGCTGACTACTGTGCGGGTTAAAGGGAAGAAAGGAAATCTTTAAGGAGAAGTACATGATTTAGCATGGCTAATATACATGGTTTAAAAAATTATTTTGTTGTTGTTGAGAATACACACAGCAAAACATATACCAATTCATGTTTCTGTATGTACAGTTCAGTAACACTGATACTGTTCTTCGAGTTGTACATTCTCTTTTTCTGAGTTGTTCCTTCTCCATTAATATAAACTCCTGCCCTTAAGGTTCCTATTCTAACCTTCTGAGTTAACATGTGTGGCTTTCATGTACACAATTATCATTATCTTAAATATCATTTTAATCCAAGCTTTTGATGGCAGTTGATTGACAAGTACAGCATTTCTTATTCCTTAGAGAGAAAACATCCCATGTTTTACAGCAGAGACATGGTGCCTTCATTCACCATGAAAGTTTTGTTGCAAAAAAGACAGACGCTGTTGATCACGGTACAACTCACACTTTATTCCATCATGATTGGTGTACACATAGAATTGGGACAGCTAGGACTAGAATCAGTGCAGAACTTCTCTGGACTAAAGGGTCGTGAAAGGCATTACTGGTTTTGGCACACAGATTGTATAGCCATACACTGGCTGGAACAAGATGGTCAGTAAAATAAAATACACAAGTTGAGCACTGTGATGAAATCCTGTCTGAGTTCCGTAAAATGTTAAAGAGTAAATAATTACAGACTCACATGCAACTCTATATTAAAGTCACATTATTCACCTACAGACTATCCCCACCAGCACGTAGAGATGAAGAGATGACCTTAGTTATCTGTTCATAGTAACTTAAAAGAGCAATCAATACACATCAGAGAGCTCTGCCTGCTGCTTTTTATAGCAATCCATCATAGTTGAAGAAGTAATGCTTAATAATGCTCTTATTAAATAGAATCTTACTGATCAAGTAACTGACTGCACTTTTACTTACTGAAATACGATTTGTCAGATCTTAATAACATCAGAAAACAATTTCTATTAGTTTACTTATCCTTATAAAATCACAATGGACAGGAGGGAGGAACATATGTAATGGGTGGTCTTTCCTTTTCAAAGATAATCATATACTGATGAGAACATCAAAGAAGTCATACTATTGTGCGGCAAGTATTTTAGGTTTCACATCATCGAAGGAGTTCGAAGAAACCAGCTTAGTTGGTAATGTAGCAGTGTAGAATGTGATTCTATATAAGAGGCACACAGATTCTAAGTAATTTATTAAGACAGAGAGAAAGGAGCAAAGGAAAGAAGTGAAAATCAGCCTTCTGCAGAGCAATTGTTCAAAAGAAAAATGGATTCAATTGGCTAATGACTAGCCATAATAGGGATCAGTTCTTTAGTTTGGAATGATAGAAGTAAACATGCTGAAAAGTAGATACCAAAATCTTTAATATTAACCCGAAACTAACTAATTGGCTTATTTTTCCTGTGGTTCTTTTCATGATGTTGAACTTTTGTAGGGATATTTTCTGCTTTTGCTAGTGTTTTATTGTTGTTGTTAAGTGCCCTCAAGTCGATTCTGACTCATACCAACTCTATCAAGGACTTCCAAGGAGCAGCTAGCTGGTCGGTTTGTAACTGCTGAATTTGTGGTTTGCAGTCCAGTGTTGATACTACAGCATCATACCAGGACCATATTTAACTCAAAAGGGCCACCATATATTCTGGGAACAACTTTTCTTTATTAACTTAGGCATGTGGTTACCATTCATTCTCTTTCTGGTAAAAAACAAATTACAGTAAATCTCTGGGATTATGAATGTCAGATTACAGACAACTCATCCTTGCCCTTTAATGTTATGTAAATTTGCCCACACTTTGAAATAACTGAACCAACCCTTACTCACAACAAATTCTTCATCACAATTGCCTTCCCTTGATGCATGTGTGCTTCTAAATCACTGAAAAGGCTTTTTGCCCTTTCTTACTCTAAAGTAAAGCTTAATCAGAACCACATGCACCTATTCTGACAGAGCTACAAATCTGACTTAAAGATGCACTTAGGAATGGATCTCGTTTGTAACTCAAGGACTGCCTGTATTCATCCATGAGACTGTCTAAAATAGGACAGTGACCAAGAGAGGGTCCATTCACAGTATGCATATCATTAGATATTTGCCATGATATTAATTTAAAAGTTAAGCAATAAGGAAGAGAAGTGTAAAATAAACGTATTCAAATTTCTGGTGTAAAATCATCAAATCAGTGCACAAGACAGTGGTTAAGAATGTCTTGATTTTTTTTCCAGAGGGTTATCACTTCCATCTGTGAGGAGGAGTTGAAATGAAAGATGTAATTTTCTCTTGGTCACCAATATAAGGGATGTTTGATTATAAACACAGGTGAGCAGAGCAAGACTTGAAGTATGATTTCTTATAATCTTTCTGATTCTTAATCTTAAACCACAAGCCACAGGCAATACCTGAAAGAGAGATTGACTAGGAAGTTTGATAACATGCCTAGATCAGTTACCATCCCTTGGAAAGTACCACTTCCCTGGCCTCCTAATAGGCCTTTTCTTTCAGTTTGGTATTGTTCTTTGTAAGAGATGTGTCAGTTTACAGTTGTGTAATTTGAAGAAAGAAGTTTTATTTGAATTCCACAGTAAATATTCATGGATGCTTCAAAGTGGAATTGTTTATAATCTGAGGTTAGTTTCAAACACTTCTTGAACCTTGAACATGTTCAATGACAATGGGACTCTCTTTTCTCTGGGCTAATCTATACCTGTTAGTGTAGTGGTTACGATTTGGGCTGCTAACCTCAAGGTCGGCAGTTCTATACTACTAGCTGTTCCGTGGGAGAAAGATGAGGCTTTCTGCACCCGTAAAGATTTACAGCCTGGGAAACCCTGTGCAGAGTCACTATGAGTCAGAACCGACTCCATGGTACTTAACAATAACAACAACAACAACAACAACAGAAAATCTATACCTTAATTACTATCACCACTAACCTACACCATTAAGAGCTCTGGTAGTGTAGTGGTTACAAATTTGGCTACTAATCTCACGTTCAGCAGTTCAAAACTACCAGCTGTTCTGTGGGAGAAAGATGAGGCTCCCTGCTCCGGAAAAGATTTACAGCCTCGGAAACCCTGTACAGGGGTCTCGCTATGAGTCGGAACCAATGTCACGGCACATAACAACAACAATACCATTAAGAATCATTTTTAGCTGTGACATCGCTTTTGAAAGAAATAACCTTGCTAGAACAGGATAATTGCAGCCACTAAAGGCTGGAAAGAGGGTGAGTCAGGGCAAGGGGAAATAGAAATGGGCTGAATAAGGAAGAAAGTAAGACTTTTTTCCAAGGTCTGGAATTGCCTAATAATGAAGCAAAAATTCATGGAATGTGACTTTATGACTTACTAAGACTTTGTTCTCATGGAATGTTTCTAAGCTTCTGGGTCTACAATCCCTTAACAACCATCTGGTACGGAATTCACCTTCCTAGTTTGTTGCCCTGCTTCTTCTGGAATTGAGATCTCTGGGGCAAACCCAGTCAGGATGTGCCTCTGTGTAATAACACTTCCTGAAACAGCTGCTCCAGTTCTGGTCACGGCTTTGCTGAGGAGCCTGTTTGCCCCTCTGGGGGCTCAGGAGTTGTAGCCATGAGGCAGAGGAGACCGATGGCAGCAGACAGCTTGGACCTGCAGGAAGGATCCCAGAAGGGAAGATGCTGGGCTTGACCCGAGGTCAAGGTGACAGCAATAGTAGTGGGAAAGGCAAAAAACAAAACAAAACAAAAACTGGAAAGAAAGTCATGAGTGCAGAATGAAACCAGAAGGAAAAGAGGAAGATAACATGAACCAGGAAATTTCATAGGAACCAAAGATGGTTAATGATATAAAGGAAAACAACCATAGCTTATCTGACTGATCAAGAAAACATTCATCCCAATAAACTGGCAACTAAGCAATTTTCACACTGGGATACGAACACTAAAATGAGTGTTTCCTTACTATTATTATTTGCATTTCATAGTTCATTAGCTCTACATTTTCTAGATTGCTTAATTCATTTAGCAAATCCACAGTTTAGGTACCACCATGAGGAGATTGAGGGTGGGCACAAAATGAAGCAATTAAACTTAGAGTTAATTTTTTATAAACAAGAGTTAGTAGCCCAGTGGCACAGTAGATTGTCAATGAAAACAACAGAAGTGGGGACAGAGTCATCGGCCAAGTGTGTGCAGTGTTGCCGCCTACAAGGGACTCTACAACTCAGGAGTCCACCTTTTTGTTAATTAAGATTGAACAGCAAGTGAGCAGCCCATCCACCTTTTCCAGTTCAGAATGGCTCACGGGGATCAGCATATGGTCCTTCAGTTTTTCATAAATCTACAGTAGGAATAAAGGGAAAGGTAGAGAAGAAGAGTTAGGTTTCTGCATTTATCTTACCCCTCCGTTGGAAAAGACAAGCTTGTGACGTTAGGGTTGTCTTGGTATGCTAGCACTGCTGAAACAGCAGTACCACAAGTAGGTAGCCTTCAAAAGACTCTGCTCAGAGTTCAGAAGGCCAGAGGTCTGAATTCAGGAGAGGGTTCCAGAGTGAGGGTCTTTTTTTTTCTATTTCAGCTTCTAACCAGTTATCTTTGAGTTGATTCCATATCTGATCCTATGTGTGTCCTAATAGAACTGTGCTCCAGAAGGCTTTCAGTGAATGATCTTTCGGAAGCAGACTGGTAGGCCTTTAAGTCCATCTGGATGGACTTGAACCACCAACCTTTAGATTAGTAACCATATGGATAACTGTTTGCATAATTCTGAAACACATTTCAGCTTATAGTATCAGGCAATCCTTGGAGTGCTTGGACTTGTAGATGCATCTGCCCTAGGTGTCTGTCTTCTCCCTGTTTGTGTTTCTGTGTCTATTCTGTTATTTTCATAACCCAGACTTGAGAAGGTCTAGGACCCACCCTATTCTGTCAGAGCTCATTAACATAACAAAAGAAAACATCCTATTTTCAAACAGGGTTATATTTACAGGTATTATTGTTAAGTACTGTTGCGTCAACCCATAGTGACCCTGTATAGAGTTTCTGAGGAGCAGCTGTTTGAACCTTGTGGTTCAAACCAACTTTGCAGTCCAGCACATTGACCCACAGCGCCACACTAGGACTCCATTTACAGATATAGAATGTAAATGTATAGGTTAGGATTTTAACCAGACTTTCATCATTTAACCCCAAGATATGCATGAAGTATAGACGACACAGATACCCACAGCAATATCATAGAGAGAGTAGCAACTGGTTACCCATAAGCTCTATGTTTCAACCTCAAAACCAAAGATATGTCAGAAATGTGGTTGTTACTAAAGATGCTGTTGTCATTGGTAGATGAAGTGACACATGAAAGTAGATGGCCATCTCCTCAGTCTGAATATTACTTTCTATGTCCAAAACCTCCAGAAATTTCTCACAAAATATCATGTAAGTGAGGTATTTCAGGTTGAACTACTTTTAAATTAGAGTGTAAATTTTACAGCATCTTTTGACAATTTGTTGTTGAAAGCATGTGTCAAGACTTCAAATTAACAGCTCCTACATTTTCTTTGACTATCAAACATAGCACATTTTTAAACAAAATCACTTGAAAACACACTGTCTAAAAATCATCCATCATGCTTCTTTAGGAAGCGCTGTGCTCTTTAAAATTCAGTACATAGACTAAGCACTCAGGAACTGGACTGAATACCGTTCCAGACCCAGCTCTGTCTACTTACTACTTGCAGTGTGACTTTACACAAGTCATGCTCCTCTGAGCCTCGGTCAGTTTACTTGTAAGATTGGAGTAAATAATACAGCTCTCATAGAGTTGTTGCAAAGACTAAGTAAGACAATGTAGGTAGTATACTTGCTACAGTGTCTGGCACTGATGAAGCACTAGATAAATGTTCCTGTCGAGTCACTGCAAACCTGTGTAGGGTTTCCAAGGAGCAGCTGGTCGGTGTGAACTGCCAACCTTGTGGTTCGCAGTCTAGTGCTCCTCCGAAATGCCACAGCAGGAGTCCTCGGAACCTATATTTTAAACAATCCTCACGCATATTAAACCATGACACCCACTATTCATCTGAGAAAGGGTCATGCTTCAGTCTAGTCAGGAGTCTTACATTTTCTTCATACCCATACTTTAAGCCATGGGAATAGAGAAAAATAATTTGTCTCCTCCCCTCTTTAAAAAAAATCTTTTTTATTTGTGACTATGAGGGTAAGCCTAATAATTATAAACAAGGAGGCTTCAAAAAGGTCATGGAAAAATGGAATGAAAAGATAATGGAATTGCCCACGAATTTTTTGAAGCTCCTTTGTCGTAATCCACATTTTCAAAGTAGCATACATACTTTTGAATACTTCTCAAGCTTCGTATGTAAGTAAATAAAACTAGTGGTTACTAAATTCTCTTCTCCTGTAATACTTAGTAAAAATATCTTATTCCTCTGGACGGAGATGAAGATGCTGAAATTCCTAGACAATATTGAAGAAGCTGTGAGTGAGGACTGTTCTATCTGCTTGGCAGGATTAAACTGAAATGACTACACTGTACAGATGAGCTCAGCAGAGTACCTGGAAAGACAAGGAAGATTTTCTTAGACTGGAAAGAATTCCAGGGACAATTGCTTTGTTGGAACACAAACGCAGAGACTCTTACAGGGACCCTTTGATTCCAAATAGACTACATGATTTCCTGCTCTATCCTTTTGACAAACAGAGCTTCTTGCTACATCGGAAGTACAGACCCTGTTTTCTCAGCTCTGGCAGTAAGCACCCACCTCTCTGGGCCATTTACACTCCTCTGCTTTAAGACAAATGACCATCTGATGAGGGCTAGCTCAGAGCTATCAGAAAACAATGACACAGCTGACCTTCTAATTGTAGGATTCTGCGTTTAATGAGTATGTAATTGTGGGAGATGCACTTAATCAGAGTTGGAGCACACACTTGGAAGATCCAAGTATTTATTTGAAAGCTTTCAATACCAGGCATGATTCTCTCAATTACTGCACATGCATTACTGACATGAATGAGAAAAGTAAGTTACATACAATTTCCTTGTGGTCTAAATGATCCATTGTTTCTTAGCAATTCGATAAGTATAGAAGAAAAGAAAGCCCCTGTTATATGTCCCTCCACCATGATCAATCCCCAGGCAGGAAGTGGCCATGAAGGATGAGATTTTTACCTTTGCACTTTCTGGATACTCCTCTGGGGTTCGGTGCAGCAACACGTGGCCTTTGCTGGGGATATTTAGATATATACAGTTTGCAGCCATGTCATCAGGCACAGTTAGTTTGTCGTAGCGGTGGTCACTCATCTGCTGCATAATCTGTAACAGAAACAAAGAAGGCTTAAGCAGAGTGCCTCCCCACACTTTTCAAAGAGAAGGCAGGTGGTGGTGAGAGACAGAGGTTTGCAACTAATGCCTCAGCATGTTCCCCTGTGTTCTAGTGCCCATCTGTCACCCTTAGTTACTTAGAACCAGCAGAGGAAAACCTAAGAACAGCAATTTCCCACCCATGTCCCCTCGCCCCTTTTTAAAAACTTGTCACCGTGAATTGAGTGAAGGTTTATGGACAAAACCAGCTCTACAAGTTCTACACCCAACAAATCATACACTCTGCCCCATCTCAATGATTGCAGTCCCCTCCAGTTTTCCCAGTTATCCCGCTTCCTCCCTGTGGTTCTATCTCCATTCCACTCACCTTCCCATCCCTTCTCAACTTTGTCCTTAGGTAAATGTTGCCCTTTTGATTAAAAAAAAAAAAAAGACCTTTGAGCACACCTTACTAGTGTTGTCATTCCCCCTATATACCTATTTACTGCTTGGTTGAAACTTGGGTCAGGAGGGTGAGTTCCTTTCCAGACCTGAAGGATGGTCTTGGGTCCCTCTAGTGTCTTTCTGACCAGTAAGCCTGGTCCTTTTCTCATAATATTGAGTTTTGTGCTACATTTTCTACCACTCTATCTGGTACCTTCTAATGTAATCCCTTGCATAGCAGTTGATAATGGTAGCTGGTCATCATCTAGTTCTTCAGGTCTCAGAGTCATAGAGATTGATGTTCACATGTTCCATTAGTCCACTGGACTAATTGATTCAAAGCACCTTCAGTTCTCATCACTCTACTCTCTTCTGCACATGGAAAGACCAACAGTTGTACCCCAGCCCTGTCCTTTGAACTCTTCCATGACTGAATTGACACAGTGACAGTAAGAATGGGCTCCAACATAACAATTGTGAAAATGGCACAGAACCATTCAGTGTTTTGTTTTGTTGTACCCTAGGGTCGCTGAGTTGGAACCAACTCTACAGCACCTAACAAAAATTAATGACACGACTGAATTATTTCCTGTTTAAAATGTTTTGTTGATAAACATGTATTTTCAGTAATGGAAGGCATGTAGAAATAAAAGGGAAGATATTTTTTGAGGTAATAGGGATTTTGATATAATTATATGGGACACTTATGTCCCAAGTGGACTCTGGTGGTAGGAATGATGAGCTGAGGCCTGTTTCTTCTGATTTACTCAGTTATGCAGGCTCCCACCAAGTGGTAGCAAGTTCTACAACTAAGATGGTGGCTTCCCAAGCTGGGAAACCTGAGAAGCTGAAAATGATGGTGGCAGATATATGCTCATGGGTTATGAAAGGGTTCATATCAGTGCTTGCTTCTTTTTTCTTTTTCAGATTTTTAACTTTCCATTGTTATTCTAATTTTTGCTTGTAAGACACATCAGTAAAATGAAAATGGCCTTTAAAAGGGGGTGGTGGTGGTGGGTGGGTATCTTGATGTTGCCTTTGACTACAGAAACAGGACTACCCTGGCCTATATTGAAGATGGGCCATGCTAGTAATCAGGATGGCCAGTACTCTGATTTAGCAATAGTAACACACACACACACACACACACACACACACGCTAGCCTTTTCAGTGCACATTTAAACTGAATTCACCTGTTGGCATGACTGTTGTTTAGTGCCACTGAGTCAGTTCTGACTCATACTGACCCTGCACAGAGTTTGCGTTGCCTACCTTGTGGTTCAAACCAAACTTATGGTCCAGTGCATCATCCTTCAGCACCACACCAGTCGGGACTAGGATGCCCTTAATATAATGAGTGCAAAAATCAGCTAGGGACAAGTTTAAAACCATGTTCCTAGGCCTTACCCCCAAGGATTCTGGTTTGGCAGATCTGGCAGTAGAAAGCTACATTTTGAAAGCCCTCTAGGTAACTCTGAAGCAGATGGTCCTTTTACCAAACTATAAACATATAAACTTAGCAGAACTATTCTCCAAATAATGGATTTATTAGTATCTTAGTATAAAAAAACTTTTAAAACTCCCACAAAACTAAACTTTACCCCAAATTTAAAATATTGATACCTTATCTCCCTCTGCAACAGAATCAAAACAACTCTCCCTCCAAAAAACACCCCTCCTAAAACAAAACAAAACCATAAAAACAATCCTAAACACCAAAAAGAAACAAAAAATATTATTTTGAGCATAGTTGCATAGATTCTTTCTATCCTGTATCAATATTCATATATTTTCAAAGAGTCTGCTGGAATGTCATGTCATGAAGGCTTAGCAAAATCTTTTCTACAATCAGATTCTAGTCTATTTTTTCATCCAAGTTCCCTCTGCTCTTCTATATTTGTGTGGAATTATGGAATTATGGACTCCAGAAGTAGGTAGACTTGTCTACTCAGTCATGGCAGCATTCGAGACTGCAGGCTCCCTGTCGAAAATTCATGTTTAAGAGCAAGTGTAGAGTGGCACACAGTAAGCCCTTCCTGACTCACCAATCAGGTATATCACTTACTTCTATTATTATGGAATACGTCAAGGATGGAGAGAGGCCAGGAAGAACATGATGGAGTACTTTACATAAAACATCAAGAATGGGGATGAGCACTGAATGAAATGCCAAGAGACACAAAGATACATGTAAGACAAAGACCAGACCCAGTTTTCAAAGAGTTCATGGTCTAATGGAGGAGACTGGCAGACAATTACATTACAATAATAGATGGAGTGGCAGTTAAAGCACTGGACTAGAAAGTGAAAGGTCAACAGTTCAACCCAACAGCCATTCCACAGACAAAAGATGAGGCAATCTGATTCTGTAAAGATCACAGTCTTGGAAACTGTCTGGGGCAATTCTACTCTGTTGTAATCAGCAGTGGAGTTAATAAGAATGGTACTATGCTAACCATTTAAAATTTATTATTTAATCACATTAGCTTCCCATTTTATACATGAAGAAGAAATAGACACATATGCTTGTGTATAGCTATATACTCAAGCCTAGATCTATGCAACGCAAAGCCTTTGTTATTAATCATCTTGCTTTATTCTCTTTCTTGACCTCTATAGCTGCTTTTCTTCCCATAAACTACCTTAACATATATTTTTGGCATTCATTTGGTACTTTTTTTCCCCCTTTAAATACCATAGGAATCCTGATGTGGCACTGCAGGATAAGCATTGGACTGCTAACCGAAAGATTAACAGATCAAACTCACCAGTCACTCCTTGAAACTGTATATAATGTCTGCTGCACAAGACCTCTTTAAAATTTTCAAGAGCAAAGATGTCAGTTTAAGGTGTTCCTGACCCAAGCCATGGTATTTTCAATAGCCTCATATGCATACAGAACAGACCATCCATTGCTTATATACAAGTTTAAGCTGAAACTGAAGAAAAACAAGTCCATGAAAATCAAAATATGGCCTTGAACATATCCCATCTGAATGTAGAGATTATCAAAATTCAGATTTTGATGCATTAGACACTAATGACCAAAGCCAGAATAGTTGTGGGATGACATCAAGAACATCATACAAAAAGAAAGCAAAAGGTCATTAAAAAGACAAGAAAGAAGGAAAAGATGAAATGGATGTCAGCAGAAACTCTGAAACTTGCTCCCCAGCATAGAAATGCTAAAGCAAATGGAAGAAATGAGGAAGTAAAAGAGCCGAATAGAAAATTACAAAGGTCAGCTTGAAAGACAATGTCAAATATTATAAAGAAATGTGCAAAGACCTGGAGTTGGAAAATAGAAGAACATGCTCAGCATTTCTCAAGCTGAGCAAACTGAATAAAAAAATTAATCCTTAACTTGAAATACTGAAGTATTCTATGGGCAAAATACTGAATGATGTAGAAAGCATCAAAAGAAGATGGAAGGGATACACAGATTCACTGTACCAAAAAGAAATGGTTGATGTTCAAATATTTCAAGAGGTAACATATTATCAAGAGCCAATAATCCTAAAGGAAGAAATCCAAGGTGCATTGAAGGCACTGGAAAAGAACAAAGCTGTGGGAATTGATGGAATACGAATTGAAATCTTTCAACAAACTGATGTAGCACCAGAGGCACTCACTCATCTATGCCAAGAAATTTGGAAGACAACTGACTGGAAGAGATCCATATTTGTGCCCATTCCAAAGAGAGGTGACCCAATGGGATGCACAAATCATTGGACAATATCATTAATATTACATGCAAGTAAAATTTTGGTAAAGATAACATAAAAACAGCTGCAACCATACATTGACAGAGAACTTCCAGAGGTTCAAGCCAGGTTCAGAAGAAAATATGGAACAAGGGATATCATTGCTGATGCCAGAGGGATCTTGGCTGAAAGCAGAGAATACCAGAAAGATGTTTACCTGTGCTTTATTGACTAAGCAAAGTCTTTTGATTGTGTGGATCATGGCAAGTTATGGACAATATTGCAGAGAATGAGTATTCCAGAACACTTAATTGTGCTCATGAGGAGCGTGTACAATCCGTATGCTGAGGAAATAATCTGAGAAGCTGGACTATGTTACGAAAAACGTGGCATCAGGATTGGAGGAAGGGTCATTAACAACCTGCAATATGCAGATGGTACAATCTTGCTTGCTGAAAGTGAAGAGGACTTAAAATGCTTACTGATGAAGATCAAAGACCACAGCCTTCGGTATAGGATGCACCTCAACATAAAGAAAACAAAAATTCTCAACACTGGACCAATAAATAATATCCACAGAAATGAAGAAAAGATTGAAGTTGTCAATAACTTCATTTTTGCTCATATCAACCATCAACACTCATGGAAGCAGCAGTCTAGAAATCAAATGATGTTATTACTGCATTAGGCAAATCTGCTGCACAAGACCTCTTTAGAGTGTTCAAGAGCAAAGATGTCAGTTTGAGGACTAAGTTGCACCTGATCCAAGTCATGGTATTTTCAATAACCTCAAATGCATGTGAAAGCTGGACAATGAATAAGGAATACCGTAGAAGAATTGATGCATTTGAGTTATGGTGTTG